ATATATATATATATATATATATAAAACAAATCCTTAGACTTGCCTCTTTACTCACAGATAGAGCTATTACCTGGATTTCTATCAAGCTGAGAAGCCAATCTGGTATTTGAATGATCCACTCGTTTTGTGCTAAAGAAAATAAAACATTTTTAGTAACTTTCTTTACATTAAAAAATATTTAACAACTAAGAGTGAGGGAGAAACTATAGAAAATGAATAAAGGTTACCACTTTATGAAAATCTCTAGAAAAAAATCTGTGATTAGTGTAATGATAAAACACCTTGTTAGCACTTTTGGGAATTTAAAAAAATTCTCCCTCCTTCACACATCAACATAACAGATTTTTTTTTTAAATTGTACAGTGTATGGAAAGACATTTATGCATGCACTGTGAAACAAAAAAAAGCTGACCAGGATGAAAAAATGTATACTATATACGGTTCTCAGAAATTCAAAGAGCTTAGAACATTCTTTGCCAAAGGAAGGTGTATTTATTAATGCTCAGTGATGCAGTGTTCTTTGGAACAGTAGTTCTCAAAATGTGGTCCATAGAACTCAAGGCTCTTTCAGGCTCTTCCAGATCAAAAGTATTTTCAAAGTAACACTAGGCTGTTATTTGCTTTTCTCATCGTGTTGACAACTGCAGTGGTGCTACTAAAGCAATGGTGGGTAAGCCTGTGGTGCCTGGGCATGAATCAAGGCGGCAGCACCAAACCGTACTACCCTTCACTGCCACAGTTGCACAATAAAACAAACAAAAAATCCAAATTTCACATAAAAATGTCCCTAATGAAGAAGTAAAACGTATTAACTTTATTAAATCTCAACCCATAGTATGGCTTTTAATATTCTGTATGGCAAAATGAGAAAATATGTATGAAGCACTTCTGCTGCCTTCCGAAGTACAATGGCTGTCATGAGGGAAAGCATTTGTGCAACTGCTTCAACTCCAAGCTGAACTAGCTGTTTTTTTTTCTTGGAACACCATTTTTACTTAACACTGATGGACAAATTATGAGACTATTTAGATATGGGCATTTAACAGATATTTCTCAAAAATAAAGAAATTGAGCCTATTATATCAAGGAAAACAACTGGAAATACCCGTTGATAATAAAAATCCAAATTTTCAAACAAAAATTAAAATTTTAGGAAACTCATACCTACAGCTATGAGCTTGACAGCTTTCCAATAATTAAAATTTCTTTCCAATTGGTGGTGATATCAATGAACATATTTTTTAAATCACTACATAATAAAATGTATCAACATTCAGAAAATCTATCACTCAATGAACTAGTAATTTTCAAATAACCAATACGAAATATTACAGAATTATGCATGGGTAAAAGATCCATTCAGAGTATAGTTATCCATCAGTAACTATATTGATATAATATGGTTTTAAAAGATCACAGATATGGTTTTAGATTCCATATTGCAAGTAGCTTTTAAGAAGCTCCATTTCTCGGGTTTCAGTGAAAGATCAAAGAAAACTATCCATGATTGTCTTAAAAGACTATTAGAATACATCTTTTTTGGCTGGGCACGGTGGCTCATGCCCGTAATCCCAGCACTTGGGGAGACCAAGGCAGGTGGGTCACTTCAGATCAGGATTTCGAGACCAGCCTGGCCAACACAGTGAGTGTGAGGACAAAATTGTTTTTCACATACTTCAGTCAAAACAATATACTGCAACTGACTGAATATATAGGTAGATATGAGAATCCGGTTGTCTTTTAATAAGCCAGACATTAAGAGATTTGCAAAACGATGTAACAATGCCACTCTTCTCATTAATTTTTTTTGGGGGGAGGGGTGGAAATATAGTTATTCTTAACTTTAAAATGTTATTTATGCTAATACACAATAGATACCATATTGTTATTTTAAAATTAGTTAATAAGTAAAGATTTGAAATTTTTTAGTTTTTCTTTCCACTCCAGTAAATATTAGTAGATAAAATTCATATTTTTACAACTCTGGTGTTTCCAATAATTTTTAAGAGCAAAAGGCTGGGCACAGTGGCTCACAACTATATTCCCAGCACTTTGGGAGGCCAAGGCTGGTGGATCACCTGAGGTCAGGAGTTCAAGACCAGCTGACCAACATGGTGAAATTCTGTCTCTACTAAAAATACAAAAATTAGCCAGGACTGGTGGTGGGCACCTGTAATCTCAGCTACTTGGGAGGCTGAAGCAGGAGAATTGCTTGAACCCAGGAGGGGGAGGTCACAGTGAGGTGAGATCACACCATTGCCCTTCAGCCTGGGTGACAAGAGTGAAACTCTGTCTCAAAGTATAAAGGGGTTCTAAAACCAAAAAGAACTGCTGCCACTGAATATTACTTTGGGTTAATTAGTCCAGAATAATAATAATAAATAACAATGAAATTCACCAAAATGGGAACTACTTATGTGTGGTTTTAGACAAAGGACCAGAGTAAAAGTTTCAAACCTAAAAACTAGTCCATTGTTTAAAAGGTGAGATTACGATTTTCACCTATTAAATATTCCAATTTGTGAAAGTATGGAGAGAAAGGCAGTCATGGAGATGGTCAGTAGAATTATAAATTACCACAAGCTCTTTCTAAACCAATGTGTTAATATATATTAAAAGCCTTTAGCCAGGCATGGTGGCTAACGCCTGTAATCCCAGCACTTTGGGAGGCTGAGGTGGGCGGATCACCTGAGGTCAGGAGTTAGAGACCAGCCTGACCAACATGGAGAAACCCCATCTCTACTAAAAAAAAATTACAGAATTAGCTGGGTGTGTAATCCCAGCTACTTGGGAGGCTGAGGCAGAAGAATCACTTGAACCCAGGAGGCAGAGGTCGCTGTGAGTCAATTATACTCCATTGTACTCCAGCCTTGGCAACAAGAGAGAAACTCCGTCTCAAAAAAAAAAAAAAAAAAGCCTTTAAAATGTTTATGCTCCGTAACTCATAACTCCTAAAAGTGTTCCCTTTTAGGAATGCTTTCTGAAATAAAATGAAATGTGGAGAGATTACATACGAGGATAGTTACCAAGCTTTAGATTAAATAGCTGGTCTAAGGAACCAAGCCTAAATGGAGAAAATACTTCATGCACAAAGATGATCATTAAAAATTTATCTTCTCAAAATAGCAGAAATAACCTATAAAAATTTAGCTTTAGAAATAGGTATTTCTAAGAAAACTATAACCCATTTTGACTGCTATAATGATATTATACAGCATAAAGTTGCAGAGTATTATTAATGTTAAATAATTCTAATATCACTGAAAGAAAAAAAGATATAAAAATGAATATACTCAATCAGAATGTTTAAAAATATCTTTTAAGTAGAAAAAAATGGCTGAGAACAGTGGCTCATGTCTGTAATCCTAACACTTTGGGAGGCAGAGGCGGGTGGGTTGCTTGAGCTCAGGAGTTTGAGAGCAGTCTCAGCAACACGGTGAAATCCCATCTCTACAAAAACTTCCAAAATTAGCTGGTGTGATGGCTCATGCCTGTAGTCCCCACTACTTGGGAGGCTGAGGCAGGAAGATCACTTGAGCCCAGGAGGTGGAGGTTGCAGTGAGCAAAGACGTATTACTGAACTCATCTAGGCGACAGAATGAACCCTTGTTTCAAAAAATAATAATAATAAAAGAAAAAAAGGAAAAAAAAAGTAATATCTTCTGGTCTCTTCTTTTACATACTTTTCAAATTTTAAAAATATTTATAAAGTTTTAGCAAAAATAAATATTTCAATACAATAAATTATGAACCATCAATTTTAGTAATAATGCTGTCAATAGTTTTTCCCAGTAGAAAAGATAAAAATTGTCTTTCAAGTGTTTTACTTTACTCACTTATAGTCTCTCTCCCAGAATTTCACAGGTCGGACATATGAAGTGATGAATATTGCACTTCCCAGAAAGGGATTCAGCGGAGTAGAGAAGAAGGCCGAGACAGCAGCCTGAATGAACAGCATGGCTGAGTCTATGGGAAAACTAGTTAAGGAAACTGACATTCATCTAAGCACAGATGCCAAAAAAACCCTCACAAAAACCTAGCAGACACATTTAGATTACATCAATTAGAGACATGAAGTCCACCAGAAGAATACAAAAGAAGGTATCACTGGGCAGCCATTAAAGGGTCACCAACAGAAAAACATGGAAAGTACAACCTGGTATGATGCTTTCAAGGGAGCCAAATCAATATTTGCTAATATGTATTTGGTAAAAGTTCTTATATTAATCTTGGGAAGAGATGTTAGAGTTCAATTTTACACAAAGTTAAAACTAAAACTTGTACATATCGTTTAGTCTGCCTTTCCATATCAATGTGGTCACTAACCCTTACTATTACTCAGAAAATACTTCTAAAAAATGGTAAGAACAGAAAATTTTGGACAGAAGTTTAATCCTATCCATTTCATAATCATAAAAAAACATTTTATACCTTCATTTATTAAAAAATAATGCTAAACATTTCTTGTATGTATTAAAAACTCCTAGACTTTCATATCCACATACGCAAATTTAAGATTTTAACTCAGCATTACTTTCTTACAAAATCTGAATACTTTTCTTATGTTCACATGATCTGCAGGCCACAGATATTAATACAAGTTAAAGAACCAAAATCAGTTAAGTGTGGATGCAAAAGATAATGAATTTTTTCGCTCTTGCTGCCCAGGCTGGAGTATAATGGCGCTATCTCAGCTCATCACAACCTCCACCTCATGGGTTCAAGCAATTCTCCTGCCTCAGCCTCCCAAGTAGCTGGGATTACAGGCATGTATCACCATGTCCAGCTAATTTTGTATTTTTAGTAGAGGTGGGGTTTCTCCATATTGGTCAGGCTCGTCTCCCCAACCTCAGGTGATCCACCCACCTCGGCCTCCCAAAGTGCTGGGATTACAGGCGTAAGCCACTGCGCCTGGCCAAGATTATGAATTTTTGATGATTTATTACACAGTAAACTCTTATGGTATGCCTATGAAAGGTTAAGCCTATAAACCAACATTCTTATCAAGGATATGACTGTCCATTCTTATTAAACTTTAATTAGAAGGATACGGGGCACTGCAAAAGGCTGAGCAAAAGCATGGAAAGCAGAACCCCATGTGATCTGCCACGGGGCAATATAGGTATACACGAACTGCAATTTATAAAGGAGTTCCCAAAGCTGCAGGAGGAAAAGAATAGCTGTCAGTAAAAAAAAAAAAAAACATCAGATATTTGAATTTGAAAATGAAAAACCTGTAAAATATATTTTATTCCTAATAGGGAAATGGCACTGAAATTATTTGCCATTTGCGTAATGTGAAAAGATATTATCAACTGCCTAAACACTGCACTTATTTCTGAATAAAGACACTGGCAGCTATATATATATATGGATTTGTGTTTCATCTGTTTAAAATATTCTGTGCCCTCTACTGGCCATAATACTGCTACTACAAGCAAAACTAAGTAAGGTAGAAAGCAGCCAAATAATTGTTCCTGAAAAAAAACAATCAAGATGTCTGTAAAGCTTAAGTAATACATATATTTATTTTATTCTAAGACACATGTTCCCCAAATTTTAGTGCTTTGGAAACTGAGCATGTTTTAAATGTAATGTCAGAAGGAATGTGAAAATAGCAGTTGTAATATAGTTGTCACTGCCTGTTTCCATAAAAATTTAGTTGCGTATACTAGGCATCTGTTCATAACCTTAATGGTTGTCAGTGGAGACAGGATACACATTTTAATTTTATTTAAGGTTGGACATGTTACAGTTGAATACTTCTTCAATGCTGAAACAGAGTTGTTGTACTTGTCCAAGACTGCCTCTGCATGATTAGGCAACAATCACTTCATCTTTTGAAATACTTTAACTGATTTACAAATGAACTCCCTTAACTTCCAATTTAAAAAAGAAATCACAAATTCAACCAATTAAAAAATGTAGATAAACTGCAGTATTTTTGCCATGACTCAAAATTATACTAGCAATCCTCGGCATTAGTGTAATCAGGATCATGGTAAGTAAAAGCAGCATGTATATCATCGTGACGCCATTACAATGGCTTAAAAGCAATGACTCAGCAACCTCTTCAGATTCTAAGTGTGAAACAAACTGTATTCCAATTTTGATTGTAATATTAAAGAAAAAATAACATAATTATATGGGTAAGGATTGGTAGGAAAAGGAATTTTTGTATACATTTATTTCCTTGAAAGGTTATTAAATCCATGATATAGCTTGCAATGATATCTTAACACAAAAAATATATCTGAAGAAATCCCTTGAATATAACTACCATTGTTAAATTCTATCTATTGACCAATTTAAATAAAAACCCAAGGGGAAAGCTTTCTCTGTTTTGTTCATTGGTGTAGCCTAAGCATCTAGAACAGTTCTAAAACAGTTTTTTGTTTTAAAAAAAATTAACAAATGAAAGTATTAAGAAAATCCAAACTAATGGAGAGTTAAGTGTAGCAACTATATTTCAAAGATTAGTTGCTTTATACTTTACTGCAACTTTCACTTTTTTCTAACCAGTATAAGATGAAATACAATTTTCAATCTAAATATTTGAGTTTGTGAGAAACCACATGCTTCTTTACACAATTCTCTGATTAACTTTCTGGCTTCCTCCTTTGGTTAACAACCATACTCACTAGAAAAGGAAATAAATGATAAAAATGCAAATTAGTGATTGAACAGATATAATATTGAAATATTTTAGAAGCTATTTATCACAATATTGAAACTATCAGTGAAATTTTGTTCAGATTAATGGCTTTCCATTTTTTCTGTTCCCATCCTAGGTCAGACTACTATCACATCTAAATTACTGTCATTATCTCTCGAGCTGTTCTCCATACCTTTAGGTTCTTTCTTCCCCAACTGAAGCCAAATGTGGCTGACCAGGCTAACTTTCCTAAAATGGGAATTTCATTGTGTTTTGTAGCTGTTCATTTGCTTCAGCTCTCTGTTACCTATCAAATGGGATAATATGTGTCAAAGTGCTTTGTATGTAGTCAGTGTTAACATGAAATTTAATCCCTATTTCACTGACAATCTGACTGTACAGCCTATTTCACTGAGAAAGGTAGAGTGATTTAGTAAAAAAATCCTTGGGTTAGGAGGCAGAAGACCAAGGTTTTACCATCTAATTCGTAAAAGGCCTAAAAACATATATCTTATGAGTAGATAATGAATTTTAGCAGCAGCCTCAAAGTTCAGCGTATTCTGCAAATGTCACATCAAGCTAATTTCTGACTGCTCCCACCAGGCCTCAGTCTCCTCAGCATCTACCCCTTTCACTGGGCCATGCCAGAGCCCAATTCAATTATTATCACTTCTGTTTATAATATTCAAAACTATATACCTTTTGAGAGACTCTATATATTTAAAAATACATACTTTTTTTTTTTTTTT